ATTTGTACGTTTGTTTTAGTGTACGTGTGTATGTGTGTGTGGCAGAGGGAGGGGGTCTTGAGACTGCATTTCTGTGCATTTGACATAGAATGTTGAATATTAATTAGAGGAAGGAGGAAGAAAGGAAAATTGAAGAGGAGAAAAATTACATATATTTATATATATACATATATATATATATATATATATATATATATATATATATATCGAGAGAGAGGGATAGAAATAGATAGAGAATATGAGAAAAAGACAGAGAAAAGAAAGTGGAAAAGAAAGTGAAAATAGAAACATTAAAAGTTCTCGTTATTGTTGTTGCAGTAGCAGCAACGTTAGCATCATCTATATCGTCGTCATCATCATCATCATCAGCAGCAGCAGCAGCAGCAGCAGCAGCAGCAGCAGCAACATTAGTACTAGTTGTAGTATTAGCAGCGTCGATATCAGAAGTAGTAGCACATACACAACGGCAAAAACATACTGTCCTGCCCCTTCTTCGTCCCCGTCCTTCTGCACCCCCCCCCCTCCCTCCTCCCTCTGCATTCTTCATCCCAACCCCCAGGCGACTCTCCCAGTCTTGAAGGGCACCTCCTTAGCTCAGATGCTATAATACTGGACAACGGAGTGGATGGCCCTTGTTCGAATCCCAGACTAGGCTTGCTTAAATTTGAGCCTTTTTGTTTATTTTGTTGTTGTTGTGTTGTTGTTGTTTAGTAACCAAAGATCTCAAACGATCTGGATTGCCCCTTTCGGAGTTACACATTAAAACCAAAGATTCCTTCTCATAAATGGTCGCTTTTAAGGACAAGCGTGCTAACCTAGATTTCGTGGGTCCCCAAAAATGTTGACCTAAACAAAAAGTGGGCATTGCCCTACCTATAGGAGAAGTTTGATTTCTTTGGTGTGTATATTTGTTTGATTATAATAGAGAAAACTCTCCTTGTCTTTTAAAGAAACTGAACAAGGGTCCAAAACTTTACCTCGGATTTTCTCAAAACAGCATTTTTCGGTATAGCCCCCTTGTGCTTAAAAGCGACCACCTTAATAACCTAATGGTGTTAATGAGGGTGTTACGAGTAAACTCACAAAACTTACCTACACCTTCCAGGCTGGAATGACGTTGGCTGGCACAACCCTGAGATTTTGTCCCCAAATCTCAACCGCCTGGCCAGGAAAGGAGTGACACTGGAATCAGCTTATGCTCAGCCTGCCTGTACACCGTAAGTACTTGCGCTTTTTTTGTGTGTGTTTTGTTGTTGTTGTTGTTGTTGCTGTTTGTTTTGTTTTTTTACCTGTTGGTTTGTTTGTTGGGTTTTTTGTTTGATAGTTTGGTTGGTTGGTTGTTAGGTTTTACAATACTCTGTTTCCACCGTTGAACCAGTGGGGTTTTTTTCTTATTGTATTATAATTTTACATATATTTTTTCACTGGTCGGGGAGGGTTGGGTTTTGTTTATCAAATTTCTATTGCTGTCGCTGTATTCTTTTAACAAAGAGTTTTGGTATTGTGGCAGTTGTGGAATGGTGGGGATGGGTTTGTTTTGTTCGTTTTTATTTTTAGGGATGGGGTGGTAGGTAGTAGTAGTAGTAGTAATACATTATGTAGCAGTAGTCTTTTGGGGTTTTGAGTTTGTTTTTGTTTTTTGGTTTTTTTGTGTGTTTTTTAAACAAAATCAAGCAAACTAGAAAATAACACATCCCTCATTTTTGTCTTTCACTCATTCCAGGTCCCGCAATGCGTTCATGACGGGAAAATACCCGTACCATACACCGCTGCAGGTAACATGCGGCTATCTATCAACACGTTTAATGCAGGAAAAGAAGAAGAAGAAGAAGAAGAAGAAGAAGAAGAAGAAGAAGAAGAAGAAGAAGAAGAAGAAGAAGAAGAAGAAGAAGAAGAAGAAGAAGAAGAAGAAGAAGAAGAAGAAGAAGAAGAAGAAGAAGAAGAAGAAGAAGAAGAATATTATTATTATTATTATTATTATTATTATTATTATTATTATTATTATTATTATTATTATCATTTTTATTATCATTTTTATTATTATTATTATGGTTATGATTATTGTTATTATTATTATTATTAATATTATTATTTTCATCAACCTTATTGTTATCCGTATTATTTTATTATTATTATTATTATTATTATTATTATTATTATTATTATTATTATTATTATTATTATTATTATTATTATTATTATTATTATTATCAATAATTGATGTCATGTATATAATGTTCGATCTCGATTAAAGTACTCAGAGTCTAGGAGCGCTTTACAATGCACTACTAGTAGTAATACATAAACGTCTTTGGTAGAACTGATTAACTCAGTTTTTCTATATCTCCTTTTTTATCTAGTTCTAATGCCCCCACACACACCCCCTCCCCTTTCCCCCAAATTTCTCTGTTCATGTCTCTATCTCTGTCTGTCTGTCTGTCTATCTGTCTGTCAGTTTGTCTGTCTGTCTGTCTGTCTGTTTCTCTCTCTCTCTCTCTCTCTCTCTCTCTCTCTCTTTCTCTCTCTCTCTCTTTCTCTCTCTCTCTCTCTCTCTCTCTCTCTCTCTCTCTCTTTCTCTCTATGACAGTGGCTTTTTAGATAGGTTTTTAGCTAGAGAGATGGGTAGTCTAGGAGCTTAAACATGTTAAGGGCACACAGGAAAAAGGGAGACAAGGAAAAAGAGAGATCATGAAATGGGTTCACTAACAAAGTGGACTGAGAGGACTATTAGAGCTGGGGGGGTATGGGAGGGGGAGGGCGAG